GTTGTCCTCCATCCATATTTTCAGTTCCAGGCTGAGTCATTTCTACCTTCTCCTCTCTGTCAACGCTCTCTGGTTTCATTTAAAAGAGTTGATCATCAGATATTGTCCAAGATTAACCTTCAGGGTGGATATAGCTCGCTAGCAGCCTCGCACCGAGGACCTATCCATGTAATCATTTACCCAGAATGCTTTGTGTGTAAATAAAATGACTCCGTCCGTGTTAAAATATATTTTTGAAAATTTACAAAACTAAAGCCTACAGTATTTTACAGTCTTTATTTTACAGTTAAAATATATGTTTATTAAATAAAGTCCAATGTTACAACTAATCAGGGATCCCTTTAAAACAGCTTTAATCACATCCTGGTGAGTTAAATCAAACGCAGCTTTACATCACGTTCAAATTAAAAAGTTTCCTAAACTCCCACATCCACCTTTTTGTCTAATCTACATTCTGCTCCTCTGTTAAAGTTTTACATAAATCTAAGTTTCATGTCGTTTTCCTTTTTGTCCTCTCAAGCTGTGCTGTTCATTTCACAGACAAATCATTTTCTCTCCTAAACTGCGAGTCATCAGTGAATCAGTGGGGATACGTAATCAACCTCCATTCCCAGCTCTGCTCTTGTTTGTGTAATCTCCCTCCACATGCATGTGGAATGAGCTGCCTGCAGACAGATGCATGAATGAAGCCTGAAGCTCTAGCTTTCTGTTCCTGCATATTAACTGTAGTTCACATGTGGCTGAGAAGAAGAAGAAGGAGGAGATAAAACTACAGGTTAAATAGAGTCTGAAAAGTCCAGATGGTTGGTGTTCATGCAGCCTGGTATCTTTATGGTTAAAAAAAAAAGTGGCAGCTTTAAATGTTTTCTATTTTAGCTAAGTTGTGAAATTCTGGCTTCTGAGTACAAAGAAATCACAGATTTATGGATCTCCTCTGGATCCATCAGGAGGACCTGGAGAGAGTCACTGAGGGAGAGGAGTTCTGGGTTTTTATCTTACACCTGTACAGATGGATGGATGGATAGATGGATGGATAGGTGATATAATCTGATAAAATATAATTTCCTCTCAACAGACTGACACATATCAATCCTGCGGCAGAATGGATAAACTTTAGGACACGGTGTCTTTCAGTGATGCTAAGTTTTTATTTTATTGATTAAATTTTTTTAACATCACAGGTCAGTCACAGTGTGAGGACATCCTGGACAGGTCCAAGTCCACCACAGGGCCACACATAGAGACAAACGAGACAAACAACCATTCACTCTCTCACTCACACCTAGGGACAATTTAGAGTTATCAATTAACCTAACAGTCATGTCTTTGGTCTGTGGGAGGAAGCCGGAGTACCCGGAGAGAACCCACGCATGCACGGAGAAAACAAGCAAACTCTACCCAGAAAGGTCCCCGGGCCGGGATTTGAACCAGCAACCGTTTTGCTGAGAGGCATCAGCTCTGCCAACTCAGCCACTGTGCTGCTCTTTTTAAATAAACACATTTTGGATTTAAATTTTAAATGTTGACTTCAGCAGCGTTAGCAACGTTAGCAGCATTATCAACGTTAGCGGCATTAGCAACGTTAGCAGCATTAGCAATGTTAGCAGCATTAAGGGCTCGACACACGGGGAGCGACAAACTACAGCGATTGACGGCTGTCATTGCAGTCGGGGTGAAACCCGACACACAGGACGCGATAGCGATCGCAGCATTGCGAATCGCGCTCTCAGGTCACTTGTCTTCACAAAATTTGATTGGTTCTTGACTCTGAAGGCGGTTGTGCATTACGGACGTGTAAACTAAACAAATCTTGCAATGCTAATGATATTGAAAAACAAACACACATCAAGATACAGTTTTATGAGGAAAAACTTACCATAAACTTCACCCTGGTGCCAATAAATTCCCACAAAGCTTTTTAGTAATCACTTGGTGAAAGTGTTAGCTAACTGCAGTGTTTAGCATACTCTCCGCTCATTGGTCAGTCAATGAAACCCTCGCTGTTTGGTTGTACGCTAAGCAACAGCAACAGAAGTTGAACATTTTTCAACTTACATATGTCACGTCGCAACCTTGCGTGTGCACGTCTACGTGTACGAGCGCGAAATTTCACATGCGCTATTTTCGCCGGGAGGAGGGCAAGCGATTGTCGCCTCACCGCACAGGCTCCATAGGAAATGAATGGAGAGCGAGCAACATCGCCTCCCGTGTGTCGAGCCCTTTAGGAACGTTAGCAGCATTAGCAACGTTAGCAGCATTAGCAACGTTAGCAGCATTAGGAACGTTAGCAGCCTTAGGAAYGTTAGTAGCATTAGCAGTGTTAGCATTTGCTTTTGTCAGAGGATGATGATGTCACAACAAAAGCCGTTCATCACAGCAAAGGCCTTTTCCACTTTAATTCTAAAATGTAAACTTTATCATTTAGCCACAACATTTATATTTACAGTTTTCACGTTTACATTTAGCATTTAGTAAAAATTAGCAGGAACACTGAGTTAAATAATCCAATGGTATTGAAAACGTTTTAACTATGATTTTCCACTCACAAAGTGAACTAAATAATTAAAATGTATTTAATGACATTTTCAACATTTTATTTTATATCTGACGCCACGTATCTGACTAAAGCTTGGAGTGAACTCGATTCAAGATGGCCGCCACAGCTGAGCCTCAGTTCCAAAACAAACTCTGCCCGCTACACATTGTGATATTTTTGTCTCAAAGTTTACTTTACATATTGAGGTCTACCCTTTCTGTCTGTTAGCAAAATATCTGAAGAACCTCTGGACAGATTTTGATGAAATCTGCACCATCAGTTGACACAAAAATAACTATAACTGAGTCAGATTTACAGACGTGGAGCTAAAATTCGGAGTAGTATTCGCTGAAACTGGTGATATGATTCTTTCATGGAATGCCAGATTTTGATTACTAGAGTCGAATTTGTACGTTCAAACTTTGAGAGGCGAAAATTGTTTAGAAATAAAATAATTGAATAATTTATGGTAAAAATGTTGTCATTTTTTTACAACTCAGAAGATAATAACGAACTCTACGGAGGCTTTATTAGCTTTAATTCACATTCAGAGTTCTTTTGATGTACTCCTTGTAATTTAATCTTCCGTTTTCCACCTTTTGCTCTCCGACTTGTTTAGCTGTGTCACTTCAACGTGACGTTGGTGTTTCAGCTGTCTTCCCCTCTATCTCTGTCTGCGTGTGATGGCAGCTCTGGAAGCTGAGAGTGGGAGGAAACTGTCACCCTGGAACTGCATGAAGCGTGAAGCCAAATTTTGTGGCAGCTTTATGTTTTTTTTTTTTCTTCTTTCTTTCTTTTCCCCTGCTGATCATTTAGAGCAGTCAGCCCACATTGACTCATGGGAACAACAGTGGTGGAATAATCCTATCAAGTCACCGTGGCCCTAAAGGTTGTTGTTTTTGTGTATACGCCAACAAAAATCTGAGATTTGAGACCTGTCGAGTCAAAGCGAGGTGAAGCTACTGCACCTGGGCTTTTTCTCATGCAGGTAAAGATCAGCTAACCTCAGCTAACCCAGAATCTTTCTGCTTTAAAAAGTCACTCCTAACCAAACTAACTCCCATGGTTTTGCGCTGAAACTGAACTAAAATGACCTCAAATCTAAAACTCAAGCAACGTTGTGGAAGCTCTTTTTTCACTGTTGTTTTTCTGTCATAAATGACGTGAGAGGACTGAATAATTTATAAATCAGATGATAAAAGAGTTGTAGTCTGTGTTATGGTAACTGGTAGAGAAGACACGAGGCACATCTGCGTTGCAGGCACGATACTGTAGTTAACAACTTAGTTATTATAGCCAGTTCAGTGCCGCTGAGGCACTTAAATTAATTTTTGAAAATAACAAAAACATAATAAGAGCTGTTTTAAAAGGGGCTGAATATGGCCTGCAGGCCACCAGTTGCCCATCCCTGATGTGAGCCGTCACAAAGACAGTGTTCTAACTGTAATTTGAACCTGTGAGGCGCCACAGATGTGTTTTCGTGACGACGCCAGAAGCTGTTTATGTTTCTCTGAGG